AACCATTGAGGATAGTTAATGATTATTCAATAGGTCACTCATGTATAGCTCTATTTATTTTCTTTAGAAGCCACTTTGAAGATACCAAAGTACAGTACAACAATTATTGATAATCTCCTACCTCTTTTGTCTGTAACTCACTACTACTTGTCTATTGTTTTCCTGAGAAACTATCTTGTAGATAACAATATATAAAACAATAACCATTGATAATTTCCTACCACTTTGTGTGTAATTTGGTAAGCCCCCCCTATTATTATGTTATCCTTCTTTTACTCTTTAAAATTTAAAAAAAAAAAAAAAGTGCGTGACCTGGGGAGCGCTCCCTGCTGCAGACCCGTCCTTGCAGGCCTCAAACTAGGTTCGCTTTGACTGGAAGGAGGCCCTGCCCGCGGATGTCCGCACCCCAGCGATACACTTTAAAGACATCTGGAACCAGTACGAGCCTTAAAGAAAACCTTTCAGGCTTTTCTGTTTCGATACCTTTCTGGAGTGTTGGGAGTTTTACGCCTAGGAGTGAGGGTCCAAAAGCAAAGGGCTCGTCCGGGACTTGAACCCGGGACCTCTCGCAACCTAAGCGAGAATCATACCCCTAGACCAACGAGCCACACAAGCATTATGACGTATCGCTTTCCATGGTGATGGGTTGCGTCCTCAGTGGGGCACCCAGAGGAGAGAAAATTTGAAACTCCAGACCCGCCTAGAAGGGGTAATTGTTGAAAGGCACGGAGAAGCCCAGAAACTTGGCCCTACCTGGTCTGCATTAAGTGGGGAGAAACTCCTGCCAGCCTCAAGCCAGGGGCCCCCCGCAGTCCTCAACAATCTGTGGGTCACCCCACAGCCCTTTAGGTACCTCGCACACCTTCCTCACTGTCGCCAGCCCTGGGGCAAAAGTACACGTGGGGGGTCTCTCATTCGCGGGAGCATTTTTGGGTAGGAGGCCACTTACTACCTGTGGGGTAAGCACCTACTGGGTCCTCAATAAATACCAGCTGAATAGTTCAGACTCAGACGAGATTCATAGCAAAACACCAGGTCGCCCAACGTGGGGCTCGAACCCACGACCCTGAGATTAAGAGTCTCATGCTCTACCGACTGAGCTAGCCGGGCGCTCTGGCAAGTAAGTAACGGATGTGAGAGTGATAAAATGGTCTGAGGACACTGGAAACTAGGCTAAGCAATAAATCAGGCCAAACGGAGCTTGACGGCCACACCCCTGCAATCCCCGCATTCGAGACACTGAGGCAGGAGGCTCACCGAGAGCCCTAGGCCAGCTGGGCTGTATAGTGAGTTCAAGGCCAGCCTGAACTACATAGCAAGATCCTACTCGATCATCATCATCATCATCATCATCATCAATCAGGCAGAGACTAGCGTTACGCTTCCCCGGCCCACTGGGAGTCTCCCACCACAGGCCCCGCTGCGCTTTCTCTCACCAGATGGCGATCTTGGACAGCGATGGCTCCGGGTGAACCCGAGGGTCCCTCCAGGCCCTCGCAGAAATCTTCCTGGGGAGGAAATCGTCGAGGGCGCATTAAAGAAGGGACACGAGCTTCCCAGCCCGTCCTCTCTCCTTGTCTCCACCCGGGGCAGGATTCCTCACTCCACCTGGGCAGGGTGGTGCGCGCCCTCCTGCGCTCTGTCCCTCAGTCTCACCGCACAAACCCAGCGTCTCAGACCCGGCCCCAGAACCTGCTCCAGTCACACCCCTGACCGTCCAGGCAGCCACCAGTGGACAGAACTCGGCCCACTGCGCTGGAAGAGCGCTGTGGACCGTGGACCGTGGACTTTTACCTAACTGGAGCCTCCATTCCTGACACGCGGTCAGGAGACAGGTGCCCAGAAGGTGCTTATTCAAGGTCTTCCCAGAGGGGGGCTTCTCCGCATTCCACAGCTCAGTTTCCCCAAAACCAAACCTAAATAAATGGATGTCACTTATGGGACCAAAACCCCTGTGAAGAGCTTTATGGTCGCAGGACTGAAGCAGCCCTGGTGCCACAGTCTGGACTTTGGAGATACAGGGGTCCCTAGGGAGAAGCGGGGTGGGGGTTGGGGGTAAACTGGGCTCCAGCCGGCCCTGTAGTTGTGGGTGTGCAGAGCCTACCTAGGTGTTGGAACTGAGTCTCCAACACGCCCTACGGTACCACTGGGGCCCAGGACTCACCGTGCTGGGCTGCCCCCAGATTAACACTACTCCAGGTCCTGGAACAAGGGCCACTGGGAGGCAGCACCACACCCAGGGGAGGACGGGAGAGGCTGAGGACACAGCATGGGAGCAGCATGGATGTCCATCTGTCTCCCCGTGTGTCCTGTTCCCTGAGCCCCACTTGAGTGGAGCTGGCTCTGTGCCCCGGGCCTGAAGCTTGTGATGACTTTCCTCCACCTGCCACAAGTCAAGACATCAGGGCTGGAGAGAGGGAAGGCGAGAACCTGCTTCGGGCTGGTACCAGCGTAAATTGTGTCCTCTGCCTTCTGAAAGGCCTGTATTTCAGAAAGAGGAAGAAAAATGCCCATGCTCCTGCAGAAAGAGTGGATCATAACCTCTTTTCTGAGGCCACCCAAGTTCAGAGACAGGAGAGTTGGTTATTGTGGATATTGGCAAAGTTATCCCATCCCAGGAGCTGTGGACAGAACTCCTGAGGCTCAGCTGGGAGCTCCCTGACATCCTCACAGATAAAGCTCTATGCTGATGTCCGCTGCTTTAAATTACAAAAGCATAGCTGGGAGTATGAAAGGGAAAAGTATATGACAGGCAGAATAGTGCCTCCCCAAGTTGTTGATGTCCTAATTCCCAGAACTTGTGCTTATTTTAAGCTACAAGCAAAAGAGAATTAAATCACAGGTGTAATTAAGGTTGCTAATCAAATGACCTGGAGATGGGAGGTTATGCTGGATTATCCACATTGGATCAACATAATGGTGGAAGAAAGAGGCAGAAGAGAACCAGGGATGGCAGCATGGGAAGGATCAATTGTCCTTGCTCCGTGTGTGTGTGTGTGTGTGTGTGTGTGTGTGTGTGTTGCTTGGATGAAACCCAGTGTCTCACCCATGCTAGGTAAGTTCTTTACTACTGAGCTACACCCCCAGCACCATCTAAATTTTAAATTTCAATTGCCTGGTGATTTTTTATTTTTGTTTTTGTTTTGATGTGGGGTCTTGCTATGCAGTTCAGGCTGGCCTTGAGCTCATTTTGTAGTCCAGGCTGGTCTCAAACTCACAGCAATCCTCCTGCCTCAGCCTCCTGAGTGCTAGGATTATAGCCATGCACCACTACTGGCCTGCCTGGTGTTTTTACACCTGAAAATATTTTGTTCTTTTTGGAATCTGGAAGATTGAAAGAACATTTAAACAGCTTTCTGTTATCAAAGATATTTTCCTCTTCACTTTCATTTCTTTAGACATTGCAGTATAATCCACATCTGATAATCTTAACATTTGAAATCTGCAATTTTATTTCTCTTCCCTGTTGTTTATGATTTTCTTTTTTTAAAAATTTTATTTTAAAAAGAAAAAGCACAAAATTTCAAAACAAGATAATAGGAGAGTAACAATGGTTAATACACTGTATATTGTTATCTTTAAATTAATTACTCAGGGAAAACCCACTGGGGTCTTCTTCTGTCTCTCTCTCAGACAGAAGCTTTCTTCCCCCGCCCCAACAAATATAATCTGCTCTTAACCTCTTTTTTTCCTAAAATTCATCTTTAAACTCATACTAGATATATAGCAAGTTGGGAGTTTTTTTCCCCTATATCATTTGGAGGTCTTCCGCTGAGATCACTGGATGGAAGTAAGAGTTTGCTTTTGTTTCATAGACTCTGGATTGGGACTTGTTTAGAGAAGAAATTCTTATGCTTCAAATTTTGTTATGTCTTTGCTCATTGCTTACAATTGCTTATGCTTTGTCTCTTATATATATAGTTTTGTTAAAATGTGAAAAATCTAAGTTAAAACATGGGAAAGTTATAAGGTTCACAGTGGAGTACTTGCAACAAAGAACGTCTGACCCAAGAAGTAAAGAGTGATTATCTGTTCTCCTTTTGCTAAATAGCTAAAATCAAATTTGTAATAAAGTGTTTTATAATACTTCAAAAAATAAATCAGTTGTTCAGAGTACAAGATATAGGCATTTAATTGTCCAAACAATATCAGCACAAACCTTTCTTTTAAATGAACTAAGAGAAATTAGTAGTATAACTATCTCATATATATATATATATATATAAATTTTGCTTTTTCCTTCCTTCTTTACTCCTTTCCACCATTCCAGTTTCTTTCCTTTTGAACAGTGCCTTCCCATTTCACCACATCTATTGTACATTTTGGACCTTATTTACTCTTTCAGCTTTTCACACTAGGGAGACAATACAATGTTTACACGTGAGTCTGATTTATTTCATTTATGAATATGGTCTTGAGTTGCATCCATTTACTTATAAAAGTCTCCAGTTTATCCTTCTTTATGGCTGAGTAGTACTCCATTGTAAAAAAAGACCACATCTTTTTTATCCATTCCTTGGTTGATGGGCATTTGGGTTGTTTTGCCTGTTGTTTATGGGTTATTGCTCATAGTATCTGTTTCCTTGTTGTTTTTTTTTACAAGTGAACTGTCATTTTCCTTGTAAATTTCATTATACAGGGAATCTGCAAGATGTAGACTAAAAGTGTATTTTTCCACCAAAAATAGGTTGTTTACTTCTGCCAAACAAAGGCCAAAATCAGTCATGGGTCACTGTAACTTTATCTTTTGTTTCTGTTCTTTTTTTCTGTCTCTTTTTCTTTTTTCACTTACTCATCAAATACATAAAAAAGAATTTATTCATGATCCTTGGTTCATGGCACCTTCTCAAGGCTACATTCCAAACAGAATCAAGATCCTGCCTGTAACATGTTATCAGAGTAGATCGGGGAAGACCCCAGGCCTGTTGGGTCAGGTTTTCTTCTCCAGTTAGGACAGAGAGGAGCACGGTGAGGCTATGCCCAGGTGAACAGTGATCCAGAAGCCAGTACAGCGAGGAGAAGGAGGAGGGGAGAGGAAGCCCTCGGTCCACCAGCTACAAAAGCCAGGAATTTGTCCTTCCAGGTTACCTCTCCATAAATTCTGGTCCCCTAAGCAGAAGGCTGTGGGTGGGAATCCCAGGCGGAGGTCTGAAAAGCCTCTGCTGTAAAGAAGGCTGCTCCTCACGCGGGCAGGAAGGTCTCTGCAAACCGACCGAAGTAGCCTGTCAGGCCGAGGGCTCCAGTTCAACGTTACCAAGCGGCAGTAGGCAGCTTCAGTCTAAAACCTTTTTAACCATTGACTTTCTAGAGGTCAGACTTGGATGACAGCTCTAACCTGTAGCACAGAACGAAGTACAGACCTGCATCCGGAAAAAAATGTAGGGAGAAAAAAACATGATGGGCTCGTCCGGGATTTGAACCCGGGACCTCTCGCACCCTAAGCGAGAATCATACCCCTAGACCAACGAGCCACGAAAACGGTGTTCTCTATTTCCCTTTATGCGTGGTGTCCTCGTGGTGTCCTCGTGGTGTCCTCGGGGCGGGACCCGAGAAACTGAGCTAAAAAGAGTCAGATTTCAGACTTGCCTAGAAAGCAAAACCCAGAGAAGCCGGAGGGAGCCCAGCGCCTCGGCCCTCTCCGTGACACCCTAGTGAAGAAGCAACCCCTGCGCCCCACAGCCGGGAGATCCCTCAGCCCCGGCCAGCGCTCCGCTCGCCCCGCGCCGCAGCTCGAGCTGGAGCGAAGTCAAAGTCGCTCCCGCGGGGCAGAAAGACCTCCCAGAGCGGGGCCGCAGCCTCCTTGGGGCCGCGACGGCGGGCGGCCCGGCCAGTCTTGGCCCCGCCGAAGCCTGCGGTGTGGCCCCAGCGGGCGGAGTGAACGCCTGTCGGTGCCGAGGGCCCCCGTTTCCCTCCGCTCCGTTGCTCCTGCCTCCGTAGCTTGATCAAAACCTAGAAAAGAGCCTCTCTCGCCTTTACTAAAAGGAGCTGGCGGCAGGGAAGTCCTCGATCCCAGGGCTCCTTCCGGAGAAGGAAGGCCACATCTAGCTTCGCTGGTCCAGCCTTGGGGACACTGTTGTCCCCGTGTCCTCCCTCTGTGTAGCCTTGACCTGGTCCTGGAAAATCCAGCAAATCTAGGCTTAACCGTTCGCCTCGAACGCTCTGCATCCAAGCTACGAATTCCCTCGTTCCCACTGGGTAGAAAGCTAGGAAGTGGGGGTTTTTTCGGGGTGGGGGGGTGGCTTTTTTTTTTTCCGGAACCGGGAATCGAACTCACGACGACGCGCTTGCCAGGCAGGCGCCGTGCGGCTGAACTAAATCCCCAGCTTCCAACACCCACCCTGCCCCAAATAAAGCAAGCTAGGAAGTGCAGGCGCGCGCGGTGAAGCCGCGACCCGGACCTCGATGGGGGCCTCCCCATCCTTCTAGACCTATTCTCAGGGATACACTAGCAGAAATTAAGCGTCTGTGTCCCCTAGGAAAAGCTTAAAGGATTTGAACACGGGGCCCTCTAACATCCAAAGCAAGAACCATACCTCTAAACCAAAGAGACACATCTAAGCTTATTTTTCTTTATTTTTAAAGATACAGGGTTTCTGTCCTACAGCCCAACTCTTCCCCCACTTACTCCGTACCGCTGTAGTCGCCGCGCAGGCTTGTGGCTTGGAAAACGTGGTCTCACAGATGCACAGCCCTCCTCGAGGTCCAAAGTGAGCATTTGTTCCGCGGCATAAACCAGTAAGGTCACAAACTGGCAAATTTTCCATTCTCTAAGTATCTAACTAGTATAAAATACAGATACACATACATAGCATTAAAGTGCAAGACTTTTCCCGGATAATAATCATGTTAGAAGTCATGAAGGAATGGTGCAGATCTTACACAGCTTTTAAAAATGGCAAATGACAGTTCAAACGAAATACAACATAAACGACAAACCAAAGGCTTACCTTCTGTCTACACAGTTTTAAAAAAGAAAAACAGGAATTTCTTAAGACAAGATAAAATAATCTATGACAGCAACTGCTCGTCATGAATCAGTCTACAGTCTTTGTCTTTCTTACCAGGCCTGTAGCTGTCTGGAATAAGTCTGCTGCTTGCCCCAGGCTCGCTGGTAGGCCTGCCCCGAAAGTGGCTTGGGGAGAAAAAAGCAAAAGCCTGGACGTGAGGCCAGACAAGGGATTCACCAACAGCTAGCAGAGGAGTTTCAAGATCCAGAAACTGGAAATGTCAGACATATAAAACACGGTTTGCTGTGTATGGTGTACAGAAGCTGGCTGTGGTTTAAGGATAAAAGGGTGCTGGGCAGTGGTCCTTGCCTTTTCCTGCTACTGCCTTGGCCTTCCAGGGTGGCAAGTGGTCAGTGGGCCCCATGGGAGGCAGATGGCAGTATTGGCCGCAGACACCTTTGAGGACAGCCACCCAGTACTGCCCTGGGAGGAGGAACACTGGCTTTTGCAAACAGATCTCTCCAGCACACACAAACACAGAGAGCCCTTGTTAGGCTGGATCAGGGAACTAACTAGGCTGTGTGGGACCAAAATCCATAGCAAGGTGGGACTCCACAAGGTGATCCTTGTAGGCCAGGTGCAGTAAGAGACATCCTAATTCATGACCCTGGTAAGAAGAATCTCATGCTGCAACCATGGAGCTAGCCAGGTGACCAGGTGCCAGCTAGGTCTATCTGTTCTTTGACCTGAAGCCTCAGGTAACTTAGCTGCTCACAAGGGACTTTCTCAGATCCCAGGTGTTCGTCTAGCAGCATAAGGCTGGGACCTTGGGGCTGAGCTTCCAGGCACCCTGGAAGTTCTAGGGCTGCAAGGAGGGGAAAAGGAGGCTAGGCAGCAGGACTCCAACCCCAGGACTCCAAGGAACTGGCTGAACTGCCACAGTCGAAGAACTATCCCCTTCTCCCCAGCCTCAGACAGGCTGGGGCGCAGAGGGCTCGGTGGAACAGTGAATCTGACTT